AAACCCGCATGCTACGCATTGAAGATTGAATTCGAAGATTAGAATTTGATTAATCAGATAAATTAAATTTTAATGTGTTTCGTTCTGATTGATTGAATTCTAATCCTCAATTTGTAATCTGGTACAGGCTTTATACTTCTTCAAGCTCGCTTTCATTGTACGATTTTCCGTACGATGATATCAGTCATAATTAAATCAAGATTATCAAGAATCTATAAAAGTGAGGAATTATGGAATTCATATTTTTCGCGAGTTGGAAGTTTTATTGTAGAAACATTTATTGTGAATTATAAAAATTGAGCGTTATTTAAGGAATAAATGCAAATCGATTATAATGAAAATCGTGCGGTGCAAAGAGGGCTTTTACAATGACTGTAACGAGGATTACATTATGACTCGTGATTATCACCGAGCGATTGACTCGCTTCGGGCGGCGCAGCTGATATTTTTTATGCACCCGGGAACTTTCTTAGACCAATTACCGTGTAACGTATAAGATGAACGTATATAAGATATAGCGTAAACCGCTAAAAACCGTACATGTAGCGACGGAGTAAAGCTACTCGATATGCAATGTCTCTGAATTGAAAAATAATAGCAAGTGTGCTCGCCTTTTCGATGAAACTAGGAGAGTGCCAAATAGATTTTGAAAGTTTATACGTGAGTGTGTGCAAATGCAATTGCTTGTGGCACACATACATGTGTGCATGTATGTTTTCTGTCACATTTTTATAGTGTACTGGCTGTAACTTCGAGAGCAGTGCTCTCATTCGCTAAACTGATCGTTATCCAGTTGTACTTCTCAAATTATTTATAATGTTAAACAATTCGTTGCTTTTATTTTTATAATAAATATTTTATTAATATTTTTGCTATCTAAACTAATTCGATCGTTAGGTAAAATTTTCGTTATGTAAAATTTCTTTATTGAAATGATGTCATGTTCACTTTTGTAACAAATGTTTATTTAATAATGATTACATAAAAATGTGTAATACTAAAACAAAATTAATAGAAGTGGTATGAAAATACATAATAAAACTTAAAGATCATTTCAGCGAAGTGGCTATTTATATATCGTCTGAAAAATAAAATATGACTAATGAACGTATACAAATGACAGATATGAGAGATCTACCGAATGTGTTTTAAAGAGAGTGTATATGGTACATTTAAACAATTGTATTAGTAATATAATAGGGTATGACAGTTAACGGTTCTTCAATCTCTCTTAATGGTTTGCATGTGATTTATAAAAAATGTTTGAAATATTATATAAAAGTTATGTAGATTTTTGCGACCATCACTCTTCATTTAGTATCTTTATTTTATAACATAAGTTAAATATGTATAGATGATAATTAACGGATTGTAATTATCATTCTTTGATATCAAATTTTAATTTAAATTACAAATATTTACAAAACAGAGGATATATTATGCATTAATTACTTTTAAAGTTGTAAAATGAAACAAATATCCAATAATATATTAATTTGATAAAATAAAATAACCTAGAGATTGAAGGATCATTAACGATTAAATATATATGGATAAGTGTACAATAATGTTAATCTACGTTGGATTTTCATTGTGAGGAAACTCGATTTTCTCTTGAACTCGTCGTCGCTCCTAATTAAGTGTGTTTGCAAATTCACAGATGATATTCTCGACCAATCTATTTGTCTATAATCATCGCATTATCATTATTTATCTGTGTAATCATGCTCGCTCTTTTATGCGAAACGCATGTTTACATAAAAAATAAGATCTAACGTTTTAAAATCTACTCTCTCCTACAAATGCATACGCGTGTATGTGTGTCTCTGTGTGTGTATATGTATATATATATATATATACACACACACACACACACACATACCTATATGTGCGCACCTATATACACACACTATATCCGCTTTCTATTAATGCTAAGTGCTTAGGTTGCATATTAATATAAATCCTATACATAGATGTAACATTTTTACGAAGAAATATATTTTGGCAAACTTTTCGTAGATGGAAATAACTCCGAGAGGAGATTAGCCTCGCTTACAATTAGTTCTTTGCGATGAACTTTAAAGCTTTATGCAGCATGTCCTACTTAGAATAAGGAGGACCTTACTAAAAGTAAAATTATTGACAGGAATATATACGTATTTTGTGAAAAATTAAATTATTAAGTATTAAATTATTAATTTCGGTTACTTTCAATGTAGAACGATCGAAATCCGTCTGATTTTTCATCTTAATTACCAATTTTTTTTATTAAACTCACTTTGAAATCAATTCTACCGGGAAATTTTTCAATATGGAAATGATTTTTTTACAGGATCACAGATAAGAACGAAACATTCAAAGAATTTATTATTTGGTAGCGGGACACTCTGCATAAGAATTTAATAGTCATTCTGCGTAAATGCATTCATCATTCGTTTTAGTCAGTGAAATGAAGCGACCCCGTTTACTTAGAGTCTCGATGTATAGTACTCATATAGAAGTATCGTTAGTTCAGCTAGCTTTTGCGTACTTTGTAAAATGTGCGCTGTAATAAATATCGTTGGCATCGTAAGCATGCAATTTAACGAAGCATGTCGGCAGAATAACGCGAGAACTGTTCGAAGTTCGAGAGTCTTGACTTGATTAAAAAAAAAGATATTCCTTTTTAACGTACAGTAAATGGTTAAAGAGAAGATTGAGAAAGTTAGTTCTATGACTGCATTTATCTTTCTTGAAATTCTGTTGATAATAGATATTAGTGTGCAAAAACTTTTCTGCAATTACAATTATATTATAAGTGAAATTAATTTAAATAAATTATAATTAGTGAAACAAATTATTTTTGAACAAATTATAATTATAATTAATATTATGTATCAATTAATCACATATATTGTTCTACTATTTATATAGAGATCGTGTGCTGTACGAAATATTATTATATAGCGTAATAATCTTCTGGTATGTTGCATTAAAATCACATTTTTTTTAAATTAATTGTTATCTGAGATTGCAAGAAAGTGTCACAAATATTGATGGCGTTGAATCACCGATATGATTCCACGTGATTTATTATACGCGCACGTTATTGAATCGACTGGAGCTTTAATGAATTGGAATAATCGTTATACGCACACGCTTTTCCTACTTCGATTGTTGGTATTATTAATTGATAGTAGCATATAGTCATATACAAGAGAACTTAACATTGTTGTGAATACGTTGTACGTTTCGTTACGATAGAATCGTGAGGACCGTATCCAATTCTTCATTTCTGTAACGAATTGTGTTTCCTTCGATCTACGCGAATAGAAGGAGTTGTATAAGATCTGATTTTTCGAAGTATGTATGAAAAATGTATTATTTTCATTCTCTATTTATTGTTTGAGGTAAACTGTTTGCATGTTGTAACCATACATTTATTTCGGAGCTTTTACTCTTCATAACAAATTGCTTAGATATTTCTCTTTCTTTCGCTTTTTCGATTGTTAAAATTTTGATCAATCTTGAAAGCTAAACTTTCAAGAATGTAGTCTAAAGCCAATATTCATAATCGGTTCTTATTTCAAGACGGTCTTAAGTACAATTTTAAGAAATCACGAACCAATCAGAGGGCCGTATTAGCATCTTAAGACATTATTTAAGACAATCTTGAAATAAGATTGTTGATCTCGAACTATGAATATCGCCCTCTGATTGGTTCATAACATTTTAAGACTTTCTACTTAAGACAGTCTTAAATATAAGATTCGACTATGAATACTGGCCTAAATCTCTTTTTATTGACAGTACAGTCCTTGCGATTGGATGACAGTAACGACAGCTTATGTCTGAACACGATTATATATAATAGTAAATAATTAGACTTAGACAAGCCATTGCTAGATTAGATAGCGAAACGTAACGAGCGCTAGATATTCATAGAACGTTACATTATACCTAGCTATTTCATCGAGAATCACCCTCCTATTTATCACACCTGTGAGTTTCCCGACGGAGGGGTATAGTGAGTAGCGATATTGTATGTTATCTAGACACTAGTTACATCAACTATATTATTCTAGTCAACCGATCAGTTTGACGGAAGTGTATGCCGCAATAATAATAACGCTCTCTGATTTCGTTCGATGTGTCTTTGTTATCGCGAAGGAGGCATTACTTGTTTATTGGCTGTTAAGCTTTGTTAATAAAATATTACAAAATTTTACATTGAACGCCGACGTCTTTTATTGCACTTTTTCCACCAGTCTCGTTAAAAAGAAATATTTACCTGAATAAGTTATTCTTTTTAAAAAAGACAAATTTATTTTTCTTTTACCAACTAATTTTCATCAATTAAAAATACTGTTTGCTATATATATTTTACTTTAGAAACACTTATATATTTAAATACACCTCCCTTGAGCACCTATTAATGATACACAGATGCGAAATGGGATTTGAAATTTTTAATTACAAGTCTCTCGAGGATTAAAACAGAAATTTCTTTAAAATCACTTTTTTCTGAGGTATAATTTTCTCACAAATCTGGTGTCACTCAAATTTAATGAATATGCATTAAAAAGCATATTTAACGTAGTGGAAATAAGCCGCGGTAACTGTTTATGCATGTAACTGTTAGCAATTTGAAAATTTTCGTATACGAATTCGCGTTAAATGCATTAGTGATTTGAAGGTTAAAAATATAATGTTTATTGTATTTTCTATGAATCAGGATTATTATAAAAAATTTTAATTTTTTATTTTAATCAAAAATTAATTTTTTTATTATTTCTGGTCATTTCTTCTAGAAAACTTTTTTTTTCACGTTGTTTCTTATTTATCAATATTTTAACTGAAAACTCAGATAAAATTATTAAAAATGATAATTAGATTAATTTTATCAATTAAAAAAATCTTTATATAAATATATGCTGATAAGACAATTATAGTTATCATGATAAGCTAACACTATCAACTGCGCTGGTAAAGTCGTGATCTTCCACCAGTCGGCAGCACCAGCGAGAATTCTAAGCTTGTAACAAGTAAGATGGCCTCCACCGACTCCAGTTTATCAAGTGAAAATCCCGCCAAGAAGGAGGATGAATTTAACGAATTTTACTCGGAGGTACACGACTTTCCATTAATTTCAGCAGCGTTTTATATACGTTTCCACTGGCGAAACGATACTCGCCCTTTTGTTATTAAACAGACACGTAAACAAACTCGAAGCAGTATCACTTCGACAAGTATCACTTTACATTGGAAATAAAATGACAACAGCCATCTCTTAAAGTCTATATGTGTTTTAATCGCCCTACAATTATCGTATTTAATCGTGTCGAATCTTGCGAGTAATGTTATTACTATAAACATTAGACTTGCCTAACCTAAATAGATATGTTTGTGTTGGTTTGTGTTGAAGTTTCTCATGGTTTCCTTGTGGGAAATGTGTTTTATTTTTTTCTATATCATATTTTATAGAATTATTATTAGAATTATTTTTACAATTAAACATATATTCTATCAATATTTTTCTAACGGAATTTACATTTATTCAATTCGTAAGTAGATACATTTCTCTTGTTCTATCTTGATGTAAAGAAGATAAACGTGATATTTGTAAAAGACAACCTTATTGTTTATTAACTTCCATTTGCAAGAATTTACTTGGTTACATTTATACTTTTCTTGTATTCTACATTTATTTTGTTTATATTGTACTGAAATTTAATATTTAGATTTAATTGTATTTTTATGTATTATATATTGTGACATTAATGTTTGTTTTGTTTTTATTAATTATATTATAAATAATTATACTTATTATATAATCATGAAGTGATTTCATTGCACTTATAGGTTAAAGAAATTGAGAAAAGAGATTCTGTGTTGACTCCCAAGCAACAAATTGATAGACTACTGCGACCTGGGTCATCATATTTCAACTTGAATCCATTTGAGGTTTTACAAATTGATCCGAGCACAGCGATAGAGGAAATAAAAAAGAAATACCGTCGTGTAAGTGTATATTTGTAATTATAATAAGAAGTGTCATAATTTAATTCTGATCTTTTGATTTGAAATTGTAGATGTCAATTTTGGTGCATCCAGACAAAAATCAGGATGATGCCGAAAGAGCACAGCAAGCCTTTGAAAGTAAGTATAGTAGATTGATTTAGTTTAAAAAAATATATACATGCTTTAACATGCTAAATATGTTTAAAAAAATTTTATTTATTGTAGTTGTTAATAAAGCGTGGAAAACATTGGAAAACGAGGAAACTAGATCGAAATGTATGGATGTTATTGAGGAGGCAAAAGCGCGGACTGATCACATGGTAAGCATTTAATTATTTATGGAAGCTTTGTCCTTTGTAACAAGGCATATTGCATTACATTAAAATTTTATATGATAGACATATAATATATGTATAAAACTATTTAATTTTTCAGCACATTAACATCTTTCTAATAGAATGCCTGATTGAACATCAAATTATTAAATTGCTTAACAATTTAATATGTGATATTACTATAGTAGTTTAATTGCATTTATAAATCCGAAAAATCAATTCTGTGCGCAGTTTAAATGACTACATATTTAGTCAGTATATAAATTTACACAGAAATTATTTAAGCATTCGAGATCCAGCTTCGACCATTATAAGCTTTAAACTCTTACTTATGTATTTACATATATAGTCTTAATAAATCGTTTATTAAGGTATAATATTTCAATAATTAAAGATTGCAGAAAAGAAGAAGAAGCAAAAGAAAGAAGGAAAATCTGAGAACTCGGGTCCGACACTTTTAGAGGAAGAAACTGAGGAAGGTTACAGACATGCGGTTTGGGTTATGACTATGAAACTATTCGCCGATATGGAACGAAGAAGGTCATTTCACAATTTTGATTCTAAACAAAAAATCTATTAATATATTAGAAAAAATTAATAAATTAATAAATTAAATATTATATTCTCTTCAATATTTATATACACATTTATTTGAAATAGTGAACTCTTTTTCTTTTATAGACGAGAATTAGCCACGAGAGATGCAGAGCAACGTAAGAGAAAGCGCGAAGAGGAATTGTCTGCAGAAGCCCAAGCAGCAATGGAGCGCGAATGGCAAAGAAACTTTGAAGAGTCCAGACAATCGCGCGTCGACAGCTGGAAGGCGTTTCAATCCGGTACGAGTGCCACAAAGCAGAAGAAAGCGAAGAAGTTAAAAGCTTTTAGGCCGCCAAAAACGAAGGCGGAATCGCGATAATCAATCATCCCTCGTTTTTCTCTACTTCCGGTGTGTGGATTCTAATTTCAATAGACGCAATGTTTTATCTTAGAGATTTTCTCACAACGTTAAGCTAGGGTAAGAAATCTAATTCGCGCATTAATAGAACGATAAACATGCTGAATCACTTTATCTTGAAATTAAAAGAAAGGATATTTTGGATCCCCGATCTTTTTAATTTCAAGCTATCCAGTTACAAGATAGAAATTTTTTGGTTTTGACATTGTTTAAATACCGAGATTCGATTTTTTTATGAAATACCCTTATACCCATTAATAGTCATTTTTATTAACCTTAAATCTGAATGATGTCATTAAATCTTTGATGAGCTTTCGAAGGCATCTTTTTATTTCATTGAAATAAAAATCGTTTCTATTTATCATCAACTCCAATTTAACATTGCTCACTAATATATTCAGAGTAAACGAAGTTCGGGGGAGCTTGATGAAATCGATAGCAAGGCTATTTTCTTGCTTAGATGTGTAATCGTGATTCAAAGCTAGTAAAATAAAAATGTTAAAGGTATATATACCGATGTTACCGTGAGTAAAATCATAAGAATAAATTTGTGCGTTACTATAAAGGGAAAAAATATACGGAAAATGCGGAGCAATAGCAAAGTTATTAGATGAATGATGAAATACAAATGTATTTCTTTTATGTATGTGATTGAGTGCAGTTTCGTGTTATGCGAAATCTCATGCTGTTCATTTTGAAAATGACTTAAATCGTATTTAAAAATCTTTGTGAAAACGAATTTGCACTCTAAATATTCTAATAAGCTTATTTAAAGCTAATTTAGATTTATTTTTATTTTATATATTTAAATTATATTTTTGTACATTTCCAAAATGTATAGCACGGCGATTCGATTGTGAGAATTTCTTGTATAAATTCTAAGTCTCTTCGCAGAGTTTGACAATTAGGGATTTTTTCATGAATTCTACAATTATTCGACGACTTGCAAATATAGAAAAAGAGGTACATCTCTCTGGAGCATTATATATCCATAGTATTCTGACATCATTACGCAACACAATTGTCAATTTTATAATCTATGTGTGTCTCGTACCTTTATTATAAAATGTACGATTGTCCATCATAGGGAAAGTACAGACAATTAGATATATATTTATTGTACTGTGACGCGAAATCATATACACAGTATCAAAGTACTACCATGATACTCTGTTTCTGTAAAAATGTCAAGACCGTTAAAATTTTGAATATTTTAGAACAATATGGACATTTTAATAAAAAATGATAACACAAATCTTAACACTCATTATGACGAAATTTGATATATGCAGAATATCGACAAAGTTTCAGAATCTGTAATTTAACGAGTCTTGAATCAAAATCTGTGAAAAGAGATTATCCAAAAAAGATTCATAAAATGTCGAGATTGTAATGAAATTTTTGTGCCATAAAAGATCGATTCGCTTTTTTACAAAGGCTTCGATTCTGCACTAAATAAGATCTCGGCTTTTCGGGACGCCAAATCTAAACTCCGCTATTCATGGACGATATTGTGATGACTCTTTTGTAGCTTCATGAACATCTCGATATTGTCCGAATGATGTACGATTTTGCAAAGATCTGAAAATGAAAATGGTTCGTTCGATCTTTGAAATCTATTGTGAGATATGAATATATACGTATATAAAAAAAAATGTTTCGAAAAGACTGTTCATATTGCACGACGTGCTGCAATTTCGGATATGATCGTCTAATAGTGTATATATCGCTACTCAAATACATTAAAAAAAACCTTCCACTGAATCGACACAGCAATGCAAAATGTCCATTTGAATCTTGCATTCATGGGAGGAAAAATGCGTACATCGTTCTTGTTCCTCGAAATTCTTACAAGAAACATAGTGGGTGCCTTCTAACAAGCGATTCAGTACAGCACAGTGCTCATCCCATTCTTGTTTAATATTGCCGAATAACAAAGATATAATGATGCATTGTGTCACACCGTGTCACGTGTGTCTCTTGTTGGAAGGCACCCAGTATAGTATATATGATACGTATGTGTATGTATATATATATATATATATGTATATATATATATACTAAAATAAATTTAAAAAATGTTATATGAATATGATCCTACATATCTTAATTTTTGAATTATAAATGATTAAAAAAAAATATTTATGTGCACGCCTCGTGCATCGACACTTACTGTACGTCTCAACACGTCTCGACTTTGGATATAATTAACGTGATGTTACAAATGCTTTGAAGCATTCGTAATCATATGACATTTTTTATTTATTTTAGTGTGTAAATTTACCTCTTGAAATACTTATTGACGTACATTTATGAATCATCCTGTATATGTGTATACACACACACACACACACACACACACACATACATACATACATACACACGCATACATACATATATACATACAGAATATTCTAAAAACACAGAATATTCTTCGCGCGCGCGCATTTTTTTTCGCCTAAAAATTCCTCTTAACCAATTTAGGTACACACAGAAAAATATCATTCTATTGAATGAAAATTACTCAATTTACTTTTTTTTATTTTAAGTAACAGTTATCTTTAACAAAGAATATTTTCTTGATAATAATTTAAAACATACTTGTTACTAATTTTAGAAAAACTAATTATTATACATTCAAACAAGAATTTATATATTTTTTAAGAATGTCATAAAATTTATCGAAGAAACGACTTTATATAAACGACTATATAATAAGCGAGTCGAATTTGTTTTAATTTAGTAATTTTGATTGAAGTATTAGACTAATTCTACAATGTGCTCTTTGTTTCCTGTTTCTTGCTGTTTGTTTCTTGTCTTTTACTTTTTTGGTCAATAAGAGACAAACAGCAAGAAACAGAAAATAAAAAGCACATTGTAGAATTAGCCTTAAACTTACTAGGATTTTTTAAAAATGTATTTTGAATAAATTTAATGCTTGTGATAAAACTTATGATAAATTTACAGATACATAAATTTTTGGTGATAAATAAACAAGTATTTATTATATTTATAGCATATAGTATGTATTTTTCTGTGTGTAGAGTTGATATTTCAAGAGATATTTGCAAAATCACTTCTTACGGAAAGAAATCAAATTAATGCCGTGTTGATTAAGAAACTCATTACATTAAAAATATATGTAATTACATTGTGATATCATAAAAGCTCTCTTTTTCGAATTGTATTTTTCTCGGATTTGTATATGCACTGTACGGCTAATTCATTATTATTAGCTACTGATAACGGCAGACGTTTCTGCCGCTTACTTACACATATCGTAAGTGCAATATAATGTGAATTACTTTTGATTGTACACATACACATATTAGAGAAGTAATATTATATGTCTTTCACATAATAGATAGATAATTAATTAAAAGGAATTAAAAGAAAGTAATTTTATAAAGTTAAAATGGTCTTTTCTCTCGAGATACGCGAAAAATGTCTCTTAAGGTATTCGCGTCACTCGCGCCGCGTGACGTCGATAGGATGTAAGATGTAAATGGAATGTGCCGTGGACACAATTGCCACCCCAGGAAGCCGCGCCGTGCCGATATCAACATTCCGAGCCAGTGTGACGCCGTACGTGATGCTCGGCAGCACGTACAATCGCGAATACTGCTAATAATCTCGTTTTCGATGAAAAATTGAAGTTTAGGTGATCTTATTCGTTAAAAACATCCTTAGCTGCAATGCAATATGATCTCGATAGAGGAAGAACACATAGATGAATTGCTTGAAGTTCTTCAAAGGGTGGAAGATGCTCAGGGCTGGGAGCTGTTGAAAATAAAGTAAGTATTTCAAAAACGAAATTCGAAACTCTTATAGATATATTCTTAGGAACTTTTTTCCATTTAATAACTTTTTCCACACAATAACTCGTAGCTAAGTTATTTTAATATCTTTTTGATTTTAAATAAATAAAGCGATGATAAAATTTAATAAAATATATACTCTCCTATTTAAATCAATTGAAAGTAACTATTCGTTTACCACTGAAAGTTGATTATCTGACCTTCGTCGTTATCTCGACTTTATGATTTGCAAATATGTAGTATTTTGAAAACGAACTGCGCTTTATGGCATAGTAAGGACGTAGTCGTTTGTTTTGTAGTCATAACTTGTACTATATCTTGTCATTGAAGAAAATTGTTGATGTTCTTATTGTTGTTGTTGTCGTAATTTCTCTGTCGATTTTTTCTTTTCTAACTTACTTAAATTTTATTCTCTTAGTAATAGTTTTTTTTTATAGAAAGCATATGAGAAAAAAATAATTATCAAAGTTCCAATAATTTAATATATAAATTATGTGATTTATTATTTTCTAATATTATCTAATTTAATTATTTAATAGTGAATTTCATAAATAATTTAATAAAAGCAAGGTTGAATTATGAAATTATTTATTTGAATTTCGAAATGAATTTCGGGACTGATTTCGCACTTACAGACGATACGTGAATAGAATTCATAAGAAACAATTATTTACTATCTATTTTATATTTATGTACATATAGTATGATAATATACAACAGTCACGAAATTAATTATTCATACAATCTATCATTATGTCGATGATACAATTTTTCAGACTATTTTTTAAATTAGTATGACTACTAACTTTACAATCAGTTATTGAAATATAATACTATTTATTAATGCATAAGTAAAACCACAATTTTTAACACGTTACAGTTTTTTAGTAATTTGAAGAAATCATCGATATAACAGCGCACTGTCCAGGTAATTAGTTTCGTGACTATATTTTTATCATAAAAAATTATTAAATTTAAATTTCGAAACTTATTTATAAGTTTCATTAATAATATGCATTTATATTCTTTTATTCTTTATTTCAGCAAATTATTTTATCGTTATGGTCGATTATTTCACAAAAAATGAAATTATAATTGTATATATTATATAATATATAATTATCTATTATATAATTGTATATAATATATTATATGTACAAACGTATATATGAGCACTATCTAAAAAAAATGTTTATAGTAAAGAAACATATAAGGCATACTTATTTAGTTGTACTTATGCAAATTTATGTATGATAAAGAGTTGTTAGCGCGCATCACAAAGCGTATTAATGCACTCAAGCTATTCCCCATAAGCTACATCTCACGCGATGCATTTAAATTTTTGCGACAAGTACATGCAATTGTAGGTCGAGCGCAACAGGTAGTAAAGCCTTTTGCATCCTTTCGAATTTTCGTTACAGCTCTAAGTACTATGCAAGATGCATTTCCATATTCGCTAAAGAGAGTGTGAGAGAGAGAGAGAGAGAGAGAGAGAGAGAGAGAGAGAGGCAGGGGACGAAGGAAGAGAAGAGAGAGGAATTGCAGAATCAGACACAATAGTTCACTGAGTGATGGAAAGGAATGGAATAAGAAGAGATCGAAAGTATTAAACGATCGGTTTATTATCTGGCGTTCGCCAGTACAGAGTGTACGATAAAGATCGTGCATGAAAATAATTTAAAAAATATTAAGATAACGCATTTAAATAATAATTGAGAAAAAAAAATAATTATAATGTAAACACAATTTAAATTATTATTAAGACGTTAT